TGTAATAATTACCGGCTTTATGCATTTTGTTAATTAATTTCAATGTATGTTGATAAACACGTGGTTGTTCGTGATGGTGCCCCACTAATTCGCATTAAACTTGTTGACTGTCAGCCACATGTTTTGATAACCCGTTAGGTTCGAGCCGTTGCTTTGGGGTAAAATTTTTTTATCTGGTAGCCTTCATTTTTCCGTATTTGTGGCTTTGGTCTTATAACGTACTTCAGCGACTACTGTTGGCGTACGCCTTTCAAAGTATTTTATCTGATCAGGTAATGCTATTAAAAAGGGCCGAAACTGAAGGGTGTCTTGATACCCTTGATTGATCTTAATTGTATGTAAAGTCAAGGATATAACAATGGATTAACTTACAGCCATGTAACAGCCTCTCTTGCATGATGCAAACTACTCGCTCAGCCGCATATTTCAGCGGGTTTCGTTGGTAGGGCAAGTTAGGTATGTTTCTTACTAAAAATGCACAGTCAACGAGGATAAAGTGTAACGGAAATTTAGCACTGTTTGAAGTGGTCCAAATAACGTCTTTGGGGTTCCTTAGATGTTTTCCTGAGGACTCGGCATGTTACCATGTATTGGTTTGTCAGAATTTACTTCCGCTGAATTCTACTTAGCTGTTTATTCATCGACATAGAAGAGAGCTCTTTAAGATTACTATCAATCTATTTTTTCGAACCTCAGATGTTTCACGACCCTTATTTAGCCAGTGTCTAGCGGTCCTCATTCACTGCCCCAAGTTTAAACGGACAAATAATCAGTGTTATCATTTCCCCAGGAGAAGATATATCAAAACATGGTACAAATCCATGAAGTCACTGAAAAGTTGACTGAGTTATCGTGGTATATGTAGGCTGCCTGGTTGGGGTCCGCAAGACGATAGTAACCGATGGTTAGAGACTCTGAATGACATGGCTCGAAATAATTTGAAGTGAAGCAGGTGCATCCATTCTTCCTTCCCCCCATGAGCTCAGAACCTCTTCTCATCTCTTTAGATTCATTTCACTGAATAATATCTTGGAACCCTGATCTTCTCCATTACCGCTAATATTTCTGCTACTGTGGGATTCGAATTGAAAACTTGATCTCTGTGTTAGTGTAGTATGGCAGTTTGAACAGATGTATGCACGCACGTTCTACGTTGTAGCTGACTGAAATCTACTTAGTCTGCAAAGCTGCGCGCCATATGCATTGTCCGAATTTTTTTAGTACAGGTAGTTATCCAGTGAAAGCTTTTGGGATTATTAAGTTACATCTATGGTTAGCTCGTCGCACACCAGCATTATCGTGTCGTCAACTTTTCTGATGATGGTACTGGGTACTTCATGGCAACAGTACGCGAAAATCTGAAACTAAACAGAAGTTACTGAGGTCATTTTGGGGGACTTGACTCGTAAGTTTTGTTCAATCTTACGATAGCGTCATTGCCTTATCACAGATTTCTGCTCGCACTTACGTTCTATCTAGTCCTCTGTCAGTTTCACTTTGGTAACATTCTAGTATCTAAATGGATTCTGTCATCACTGATAGGTCTCCTCTATGAAATAAGCCTCGCTAACATAAGGCCATCCCCTTGTATTATGTTCTCTCTGCCTGTGACACTAGCTACTAGTCATATTTGTGATTCCAAGAATACCCGACTTCTAATTATGTGTGGGGTGGGGAAGCTGGTTCTAAACTTAGGTCTCGTTTGCGAAGTGAAGATTGTCATTGATCCATTTTAGAAAGGTGACATAGTATAATGCAGTCAACGATGGTAAGAGGATAGTCCGGTTAATCTTTACCTTTTCAAATTAGCCATGGATAATCACTTAACATCCACTCACATGCATGGGCGCGGTATGTACCTTAGAAAAATAATCAAACATAACACGCTCCTAGATAAACGTCAGTCTGTCAGTTGCAACGTAGAACTTTGTACGTATGTACATAAGTTCCTGTTGCCATACCACATTAGCACAGAGACGCAAATGTCAAATCAAATCCCATAGTGATAAAGATAGTAGAGGTATTTTTGGTAATGAAGAAGACTAGGGTTTGAAGATACTATTCAAGAAGTATATTTTAGTGAGATAAGGTTAGAAAGACAAAGGTAGAGGTGTTGACGATTCCAGAAGATTAGGATTTGAGAGAACACATCGAATGAATGAAGCTGCGCCATTGCCAACAACTTTGAGCCATGTCGTTCAAGGTCTCTAACCATTGGTGACTTTCGTCTCACCGACCCCAACCAGGTAGCCTACATCTGTCAACATCATTCCACTTGTCAGTGACTTCATGCACTTCTGCTATGTCTTGGTCTAGCCGCCCTTAGCTTTCTTCCAATTTACTCCCACTCCACAAGACATAGCTCAAAGAGGCATTCAGTCCCAATCACCCCAACTGATGGAGTTTCACCACTTTATCAATTGATTTGCCATCCGTACCTAGTACTCGTTTCCTAACGACAGCATTGCTTACACGTTTGTCCCAGGATATACGAGCAATGTTTCGAAGATACCTAGTACCGGGATCTTTAATAAGACGGAAAAGTTGTCTAGTGTTGCCGGTCGCCGCTGCCTTTTCCATCGCTTTTGCTTACACCACCCACCACTGTTCGCGGTCGTTACGTATGCTTTTTATCAGTCAGCGCATAAGCTGACTTCGCTCTTTGTCATTTTCAGAGTCAGGTGAGATGCGTTTTCGAGCATCCATCAGTTCGGTGGATGCGACTGAAATCCATGGGTTCATCCTACCCTTATGGTTAACCTTGCTGGCAGATATCACTGCTGTTTCCACGGCCTTCTTGATATCATTCCAACCTGCCTCCGGGTGAGAATCACTTGCATGGTTGTCTAATTGTTTTTCTAGTTCCTCCTGAAATATTTTAATATCTTGATTATCATTAAACAAACCCCGAAGAGGTTTCCTTACGGTGTCTTTCCTACGTCCAGTAAGCCTCAAACAAATACGCACTCGCACTAGGGCATAATCTGAATCTAAACATGTGCCCCAGAACGAGCGACAGTTCTCTATCGAACCCCTCCATCGGTGGCTGATGGCAATGTGATCTAGTTGCGTCCAACGTTGAGTCCATCTTGGGGGTCGCCAGGTCAAAAGATGCTTTTCCTTATGCTTAAAATTAGTGTTTGCTAGAAATAGGCGGTGATCTGAGCAAAGCTGCAGCAGACGGTCGCCATTATCTGTTCTATTAGCCACGAAATCATAAGATACACCCAGGTGTCTTTCATTTTCATTGAGTCTACCTACTTGAGCATTGAAGTCACCAGCCATTATAACTATATCAGAGCGCTTAACGTTTTGGAGGAGGTCCGAAAGCTTTCATTAAAACTCGTTGTTTACATCGTCTGGACCGCAGTCAGTGGGGGCGTAGGCTGATATGACGAAGAGGCAACGACGCGTGTCCCTATCCTTCCGAATCCTCACTGTCCCGTTTAGTCGGACGGCGCACAAGCGACTATCTACAGGGATCCAGTCTAGGAGAGATAGTTCCGCCCTACGACTCAATACTATACCTACATCAGCGAGACCCAGGAAGCAGCATCAGGACTACCGGATACACGAAGGGTAAATCGAGTTGCTTCTTGACATGGTGAGATCAAGTGAATGATGCTACTCGAATCCTGCATGCGCATTTCCGAGACGCAGCACACATCGATTGAGCGAGATTCTAAAGTCCTAGCCAATGAATCCTGTTTCCCTATTTGACACAATGTCCGTACATTAAATGCTCCAACATGTAGTTTAGAACGAGGTTTCAGAGGACTAGGAATAACGTTTCGAGAACTCGGATCGTTTGCAGACGAGGTGCGGGATGACAAAGGAATGTGAGAAGAGCTAGACGTGAAGTGAATGATGCTACTCGGATTCTGTATGTGTGTTTCAGAGACAGCATACACCGATGGCGCGAGATTCTGAAATCCTAGCTAAGGAAGCACGTTAACCTATTCGACACAAGGTCTGGACAATAAAAGATCCAAAATGTGGTTTGGAGCGGGCTTTCAGGAGACCAGAAGTGACGTTTTGTGAACTCGCATCGTATGCATTAGCTGTGCACTGTGATAAAGGAATGTGAGAAGAGTTAGACGTGAAGATAGGAGAGATATTAGGGGGTATAGGGAGGATTTGATTATGACCGATTTGATCTCGCTTGCTGTTACGGGTATGAGGGCGGTTGTCACTTCCCGGTTGCCCACACTGTGGAAGGTTGTTTCTTGAGGGACCTGAAAAAGAAGGTAGATTAGTGTCGGTCTCAGAGACCTGGTTGCGTGACCGCAGAGCCCAAGGGACAACTGCTTGAAGCCGGTCACGCACGGCCTTTTTACGAGAGATTTTTTGAGTTTTAGCTCCGCTCTTAAAGGCCCTTAGTGGGCACCCTTACTACCGGGGACGGAAATCCGTGCGGTAGGTTGAGGTGTGACATTTTATCGGTCGACATTTTCTAACCCTTCCTTCCTTGTGAGAAGGCAGAATCGCTGCAGATGCTGTTTGTCCGAAGGAAACACTGCTTTCACACCCTCTGCAGTCAGTTAGCAGTACAACTTCGCCCTCAGACCTTGGGTAGCTGCTTTGAGTCTCATCGTCCTATAATCGACCTTTCTGGCATGGTAGAACCTTCAGGAAAATATGTTCTAGGCAATATAGCTCGGTTGGGTCATTACGATAGGCAGGCCCGACCACCACGTCAAGGTAGCAGCTTCGGTCGGGATAAACGTATTTCTAATTTAAATAGTGAGCAACCACAAACAAAATATGAGGCACGTTCGTAACATACAAAAGTCACATAGTTCTTTACGAAGTAGTTAACAACCTTCCTCAATACTGATTTGATGGTAATGATTTGATGACGATGATGCTCTTACCTCAATTATACAACTGATTCTCGATTATTAGATTTACTGATAGTGGGATAAATAATTCCAAAAGCAGCTTGGTGTCGTTTTCCGTTGACGTAAGAAAACTGCAGGGTCAATTAAAATCAAGACCTATGTCCAGATGTAAAGCAAATTTTTATACGAAGTAACATTATGTACAAAGCCGTCTGTAGGTGAGATCTAATTTTTGCTTCGTTAGTGTCTTTTCTTAATCTTGGATGGGGGGTTTAGTTTCTGTAGATCTTGTCTATCATTCTCAGGATTTTTATCAGATCGCTGAATACGAATTTCTTTGTAAAATTGACGACCTGCACGATTGTTCTGACGACGTATAGCTCTGTCCATACTCCTTTTTTGTTTAGACGTCAAGACTTGAACTGGTTCTTTAGAAATTTCGGTTTTAACACTGTTATTATCATTAGTGTTTAGATCATAGTTGAGTATTCTATCTGATTCCAATTCTCCATCATCACTCTAAAATAATACGACAAAAAACAGAAAATGTTGAACCAAATAAAAAATGGACAAGGGGAGCGGTAAGGATGAACTTTTTAATGTGGGGGTGAACAAGTCAGCTCAACAACATGGATTCGTGGAATAAATATACGTGGGGCAATTACAGTCGTCTGACAGCAGTAGCACGACTCTAGGACAGTCTTCACTACACACTGTACTGATGAGAATAGAGTATCTATGAAAAGTATTTCCCAGAAGCCAGTAGCATGAAACTAATAAAACTCAGAAATAGAAACCATATGTAGCTATCTGAGTTCATTGTTTTAAAGATAAATAATTTGTAAATTGGGATGTAAATGTATTAATACATGCGGTTTCCAAAGTGACATTGTTTTGGGCGAAACGATTCGTCAAAACAATCACTTTCATTATAGGTACACAACAAACCATAGGTAGTGATTCTTTCAAGTAATGTTTTACTAAGCCTTCCTTATAATTCGTAGTCTTTTTTAGAGAATGTACTTTATATTATACTAGATTCACTAAAATACCTAGTGAAGGCTGATCACAGAGAAAGTGGACCTACATTTTCTGTTTCGGATAAATGCTCTGCGAAACCAATATCAGTAGAAGAAACCACATCAGCAATGGATTGATCGTTATCTGATAAGTCCTGTTAATCAAAAAAGTTAAAAAAAGAAAATATACTACAAAATGATTCCTAATAATACAGAAGTTGCTCTATCGAAAATACATCTCTGCTATAGCATAACTGTTATATCACTTACAAGCCTACTTTAGGCTTCACAGGTATTCCTTACCAAAAATAATTAACTGAGACTCATTTGTCTTTATGAGTAACAGAAGTTATATTCACGCTTGTTATTTCTTACCAGGGAGTGCAATAGTTGTTGAAATTTACTCGATGGTTTCGTTCGCATTTATAATACAGCACTTTTATTCGTTTCTGGATGTCCTTATAAGGTTCTGGTACTTCAGTTGAAAAACCTGTATTTCATTTTGCAAGCTGTCTTGAGTAATTTCGCTTGCCGTAGAAAATATTGGACTCAATCAACAACTGATGACCTGTTCAGTTTTTTCCAACGGTTAATCATATTTTGTCAGTTTTAAATAAAGCGATGATTTACCTTTATCTTGGTCTGTCCATAATGTCGAAAGTTGCATTAAATGTTTAAACATAGTTAGGACGATAGATTGTTGCTTATAAAAGTTGAGGAAAGATTGCGTTCGACGGTAATAGGCACTCAAAAAAGTAAAACTGTATATGTTAGCGGGAAATAGATGGAATTAAAGCACGACTACGTTGCTGCTCGCTGATTGGCTAAATTCCTATCCAATCAGCGCCTGATCGAAGCTTGGAGAACAGGATAGAAAATTCTTGTATTATTAGCTGCATGCTGATTGGTTAAATCTAATCCAGCCGATCACGTGAATTTTCTTCCTGAAGCTTTCTCATGTAAAGGCTATAAATAGACTAGCGTTGTATCTATTTTTGCCTTCTTGCTTTCTTTGCCTTGGCTTTCGCCATCACCTCCGGCTTCTTATTCCTTGCTATTTTGAGATATAATCTTTCCTGTTCAACCGTGTTTTGGTTTGGGTTACTTGTCCAGTGTTTTGTGTCAAAGAATACTAAGCAATAAGATTAGCCGGGAATTATCTTAAGCAACCGTTACAACAGTATAGCAAGGAAAATAGGTAACAAATCTATGTGTAGGCTTTTTATCAGCCTTATTGTTCCAATGATCGCGAACAGTGGTCGGTAGAGAAAACAAGAGCGACTTTAGAAATCCATCTGTTGGCGAAGCTATTTCAGAAAAGAATGGGCTCATGATTCATTATCAATCCAGGAGATTGAATCAATGGGCAGAACACTTCAGGGATCAGTTCAACTGGCCACCAGCCACACTTCGGTTGCCCGCGATCCCCAGTCATCCTGATTGGGAAGTCGATGTAAGTCCTCTTAGTCTTATAAAATTTAGAAATCTGAAGCGGGGTAGAGCAGCGAATTCTGATAGACTGACCCCTGAGATTTTTAAGGATGGTGGTCCAGTTTCAACAGTTAGACTGGCTGAGATCTTAGGTAGAATCTGGGAACTGGACGCAATCCCATCTGACTGGTCTCAATCACTGTGTCCCAATTTATGAGAAAAGACAAAAGTCCTCTTGTGACAATCACAGAGAAATAATTCTAACTAATATAGTATCGAAAATATTGGCCTCAATAATACTTCGACGCTTAACGAAAGCTCGTGAAAAGCAGACTCGAGAAAACCAGGCTGGTTTTCGACCTGGATGTGGCTGTGTAGACCAGATATTCACACTTCGTCTGGTTCTAGTACATAGATACTTGTCCCGACGACCCATTATAGCAATAATTCTCGACCTTAAGGCGGAATCTGACTCTGTAGATCGTGAGGTTCTGTGGTAGTGTCTGTCATTGAAAGGTATGCAAGCTATCTACTACTACACTACTGATCGAGTGAGGGCTTATGGCGATGTGCACTTTCTCCATTCTTGTTCAATTTTGTCACAGACATGCTGCTAGATACAACATTATCTTCGGCTGAATTCTCAGTAGACCTACCAGGAGGCTCGCTTTCTGACCTAGAATATGCCGGTGACATAGTGCTATTCGGTAAAGACACCGACAAAATGTAGACTTCTGACTGCCCTAAGCAAAAATGCAAGCATGTTCGGGATGCGGTTCTCACCCTCGAAATTGGGTTGCAACGGCACCTGAACTAGTGATAGGGAGTGAAGTAGTCGGGCGTGTCGACCGCTTTACTTATCTCTAGAGTCTCATCAGTGGCGATGACCTGATTCGTGACGAAATCTGTGCACGGATACAGAAAGCTCGATTGGCTTTTACCAACTTGCGTCACCTATGGCGCGGGCGATATATCCGTTAGCTAACGAAGGGACGAGTGTACTGCGCAGCAGTTTGCTCCGTTCTACAATACGGATGCGAAACATGGCTGTTAAGAGTAGAGGAGATTCGTAGGTTGTTTGTCTTCGATCATGGGTGTCTCCGAAGCATTGCTCGTATATCATGAGACAGTGGAGTAAGTAATGCTGTTTTAGGAAACGAGTACTAGGTAGGGATGGATGAAGTAGTGAAACTCCATCAGTTGAGGTGGTTGGGAAATGTAATGCGTATGGCTAACCACTGACTGCCGCGACGATGATTTGTGGTGTAGGAGCAGTTCGGATGAAAGCTAGGGGCGACCAAAACAAAACATCACACAAATCCGTGAGGTCACTGACAAGTGGACTGAGTCATGTTGGTAGATGTAGGCTACCTGGTTGGGGTCCGCGAAACGATAGTACCCGAAGGTTTGGGGCCTTGAACAACATGGCTGAAAATCGTTTGTAGTGGCGCAGGTGCATCTATTCTTTGTGTTCTCTGAAATTCTAATTTTCTAAATTCCTCATCACCTCTATCTTACTCCTTCTAAACCTATCTCACTGAGTTATACTTCTTAAATAATATCTTGGAACCCTAATCCTCTTTATTGCTAGTAATACTGTGGTGCGCGCTACTTATAAGTAGTATATGACGCGAGTGAAAACGTAATGTCTGGCAGCAGAAGATGGGGGAAGATCAAGAAAGGAAGGGTGGGAACACAATGGAATTTGTATGAAACGCATGAACAGTGAAATGTCAGACAATGGATTGATGTTTTGCAAATTAACGGCTTACGATATGGTTTTCCTGTTTTACCAATTAACTCTGTAATTTGCGATAAATACAATTCGGTTGCTCTCACCTGTGTTCTCCGTCACTACAATATTTCTACTATTGAATCATTATGGGATTTAAACTGACAGTCACGTTTCTGTGCAAATGTGGTAAGGCGACCTGAATTGATGAACTTACATACGAAGTTCTACTTTGTAACTGACTGAAGGCTGATTTACAAGAATATAGTTTATGCTTCATTTTTGTTGAAATACCAAAGCATTTTATTCTAGTATCTTCATTACTCACTTGTTAGCTTTATCATAAAACACGTTCACTAAATTCTACAAAGCAAATCATTTTATTCTTCATTGAATAATGTTTTTGCTGATAGCTTTTCATTGTTTTATGTGGAAAGGTAGGGACTAAAAGCTACTAATTTTTATCTTTACTAGATTGAAAAATGAAGGTATATATCCATATCAATGCATAAAATGAATTTGAACGGTGTAAAGTGTGGTCATAACAATATACAGTCGGGGACAATTCCTTACCTTGATGAATTCTTCTGAATATTCATCTATAACATCATTCTTTTGAGGTTCTTCCGACTCCATTGGTGGTTTGACAAAGTAGGGTAATCGACCACGTTGAAAGTCGTTCAATACACGCTTAGCAGTAGTGTTTAAATCCGGCTCGCCAGCCTAGTTACAACGTAAAAGATATACAAAAACAATTTGGTGGAAGAATAAAGTTAGTTTTAGCATTTGGTAGATCTTGCATAATCACATAGTTTATATACGTGCAACACTCTATAAGTATAGAAAAATTCTAGTAATACTTCAGGGCTTTTAAAAGTTTTTGAATGTCAATGCTCAGCTCAATAGAAGATAGATAGAATTATTGTAAACATGATGTACAGTATTCGAACCCTTCTTGTATATCTATTTCACCTCGTGCCGCTAATGCAAATAAGCTCAAGTACATCCATGTGCTTGCTAATTCTGAAATCATAATTTTTTATATCACTGACTTAGATTTTATTGAATCTCAACTTCTAAATGTGTTACTTACTGCTACTACCCTGGACTTTGGCCTAACAATTTCTTCTCTCGGCGGTATTGTAGGATGGCAACTTGAACAAGTTCTAAGTTGCAACTGACTGAACAGTCAGTAACCGATGCCACGCCCTAGTTTGGCCTTCATGCTTTTGTATCTTAAAATCAAGGATCATAGTATTACAATCATATCTTTAATTAAGGAAAGACTTGTTTAGAAACGTAGGTGTTTTAGACGGTATGAAAACCAAGGTCAGATTTGTCAATAGATTAATAAACTTACTCATTGAATAAACACAAATCATACAACATTATAACTATTTTCCAATTACCTTTAATAGTTTACCACTTTGTCGAGCTAAGGTTTCTAGGAATAATTCTGGATAGTCATTCCATAACAGAGGTGTAGTAGAGGATTGAGTTAAAGTCGAATTACTATTCTTACTACACTCATTATTTGCTTCATTAGCTGTACTTTGTTTGTGCAAATAATTCTGAACATCATCAGACGACAATGGTGGTAAATTATACTTGGTTTGTAGAAATTCTGGTTTAACGCGCTGCAGTACATCACGGATATAGAGATCAGGCTGTTGTAAATACTCCACTCTCACCTAGCGAGAGAAAAATACAGTTAGAAATGTTAAATATAAATACAAAAAACAATATGAGACAGAATTTACGTAGTCTCATTTATTGGGTATAAACCGAGTCCTTGAAGTAGGTTTATTTGCTCACTTACTATTTATGTTTTGGGATAATCATTGGTACAAAAAAGGCATCTGGACATTTATGCAACACAAATCAATGACTTGGTGCGCATGCAAGGATAATGCCAGAGTGCCAAAGCAGAAGGTGATTTTCTAAAGAGGCTACTCCCCGAGCCTCTGACCTACAGTTCCAAGTCACAGGGCAGTGGACCAACGTCAAGAGATGCGGTCCCAGGGCAGCCGATGACCAACAATAGGTTTATACACCATTTGTTCCCGCAAGTTCCCGTAACCTATGCACATCACTGTTTTGGAATCAGGGTTTTCCGAATCCCCTAGGTAGATTCTTTTTATGTTTTGTACTTGATGTAACGCCAAACCACTGTACTAATGACACCCGAACGTTAGACCCCTCCGTTCAAAAATAAGAAGACGGAAGACGTTGGAGAACGCTTATTGCCAGAATCAAAAATATACAATTATATAAATGTCGTTAAATATTTTGAACATGAATCAAATAGTTCATCATGAACATTAATCATATAGTTCATCATTAATGAAATAGTTTATCATGAACATTAATTAAATAGTTCATCAATCCACAATGTGCGTGGCTTTCTTCTCGATTGGCTATCCCAACACCTAGCTGGAGTAAGATTTTTTTCTTTTTCTTTGAAGTCGTTCCAGTTCCTGTTCAACTACCGGGAGAGAAGCATAAGGTACAGGAATAGCTGTTGCCTTGAGAGTCAGTAGTGCTTTAGCTTTCGTACATTCGCCTAACGCTTCCGAAAATACGTGATGATGCCTTTTCATAATGGCATTTCTCAGACTTGACTCTAAAGGGTTATTGATTCTTACTCGGCTGCAGATGTTGTTGATAGAATGGTCTGTTAGTTTTAATGCATCTATGAGATCCAACCCCAATAAATCAAGGTCTGGGTTCTTAGTTAAGTATACAGTTGCACTCGTGGTTGCCTCATTTTTTGAAACAGTGCACAATATTTCCCCAACAATATTTAATTTGCCACCAGATGCGCTGTGTGCTAGTTGCTTCGTTTGGTGAACTGTAGGTCTACCAATTTTCTCCCAAGTTTTTGGACTGATAAGGGTGATATCAGATGCCGTGTCAAGCTGAAGACGGATACGGTGTGAATTCATATCCACAGTCACATACCTTCTTCTGTGGTGAATTCCTGTCTGGTTATGAGACATCAATACTCGGTTTATTGGCTTACCAGAACTGTATTTCTTGGAATCGACTTTCGCGGAGTAATGTCTGCGAGTTTTTGTCCAACATCGGGTTTCTTTGTGACCCTTTTTGTGACATTTAGTGCAAACATTTTCTTTGTATGGACAAAACTTCTTGTAGTGCCAACCTCCACATGACCAGCATGGAGATGATGGCTGGTTGTCTGTGCTCTTGTGATGCTTTTGTGAGCCGGAATTTTTCTTTTCACTAACGGCATGCACATATGATGGACGGCAATTGTTTTCGACCATGGAGGTATCATGCTTCAAATTTACTAATCTCTGGCACTTTGCAGTTATTTATTGAAGCGAGATGTTTGGGCACTGCTCAATTTTACTTAGGATTCTGGTTCTTATATCAGCATCTTCGGGAGATTGTAAGCTGCACACAAACACAAGGCATTTAAACTGATCTTCCGTCATTGATGATAATTTAAATCGTTCGTATTCACGATTTACTAAGCCGGCGTGCTTTACCCAGTCATCTTCATTTGACTTGGTTATTTTGAGGCATTGATAACGAATATTAAAGAGAGATGACTGTTCAGAGAAGATTTTCGACAGCGTTTCAATTGTAGCATCAAAAGAGAAATCTCGTGGGTTCTTTGGGAGGATGAAATTACTATAACGTTCGTGTTCGATTGTGCCGAGCTTTCTCAAGGGGATTCTGACTTTGGTGGCGTCATCAAGTTTGTTGAGGTCGACCTTGAACAAATCCTCATACTTCTTGAACCAAGACTCGAAAGTCACACCCGCAAGGCCATCAAAATGGAATTCATGAATGGAATTAACTATCGAGTCTGTATGTGGATTATATGAGTCGTCGGTAGGACCTCTGTGATTCAGATTCATTTGTTTCATTAACAACTCCAACATACGTTCCTGGAACTGTTCAAATCGTTTTGCTTGACGTTCCAGTAAAGATTCTATCTGTTCAAGTGTGAATTGTAAGCCCCGTCGTCACTTTTATGTTTTTCTACTTGATGTAACGCCAAACCGCTGTACTAATGACACCCGAACGTTAGACCCCTCCGTTCAAAAATAAGAAGACGGAAGACGTTGGAGAACGCTTATTGTTAGAATCAAAAGTATACAATCAAACATGCGTATTTATACAATTATATAAATGTCGTTAAATATTTTGAACATGAATCAAATAGTTCATCATGAACATTAATCATATAGTTCATCATTAATGAAATAGTTTATCATGAACATTAATTAAATAGTTCATCAATCCACAATGTGCGTGGCTTTCTTCTCGATTGGCTATCCCAACAATTCTCCGTACCTAACATCCCAGTTTAAGCACCGGACATCCACTTAGCGTCCTCCCAACCTCTTAAACACCCCCGCTGCGAGAAGGTAGTCAGTAGGACTTTCCTGACAGTGGCTATAGACGCGTGGCCATATAGGGGGATTTCCTGGAGGAAGTGAACTCTCTTCGCTCCCAGCCGAATCAGGGCGTTTGCAGACACAGGCATGGCTGTGATCGTGCGTTCGAGACGAGTTTTGTCGAGCAAGTGGAGAATTATTTCGGTTTTCGCCGAGCACCTATGTTGGCTGATAAGGCAAACCCCACGATCCACGGAGTACCGCAGGTAGATGTGTTTTGTATTTAGCTTCCACAATATATATTGATAATGTTATCTCACTGGATATAATGAAATTTTGATAAGACTACATATGCCAATGGACTCTTAGAATGGAAAAAAGGTATGACATCCGGTTTTAAGAGGAGGGTCGCTTTCCTAGTGGAGCACCGACCTAACATAAGCTGGAAGATAGTTAAGAACTGCATCAATAAATACGTTTCATATGCTTTTGGTTCCGGCAGTTGTCTCTTCAAATGGTATATAGTACTTAGCGGGACTTCAGGTAGTTGAAACTGGTCAAACCAATCTAGATCAAGTAAATTTAAATCAACAGGTGTTGCATAACATGCCCTGATGAACGTCGACTTTCGGAAGGACGCATTACAATCTAGAAGCAGATAACTACCACATGCTGTCTGAGCCTTCTGTGTTGTTGGCTTAATGCGAGGGCTGCCCATTTTGACCCGAAATTTCGGAGATATAATGTTAATGTCATTAACTGTGTTCATTTTCCATATGAACGAATGCCCAAAAATATTAGGAGTGATGAATTTCATCTCACCTAGGGTTGAGCTCTGACAGGATGTTAGTAGGCCCAACAAAATAGTACAGGGCTTGGAAGCAGGTTTTCTGATACGCACACATCACTCTATTTCTTCGAAACCTCGTTTTTACTATGTGAAGCATATATATATATATATATATATATATATATCCTTTTGTGCCAATATTTTTTTGTTAAGATAAACAAGTATAAAGTGATAAATAAACGCTTAATCGACAACATGAATTTTATATGCTTCTATTTTAATTAACAAAAAATAGCATAACTTACAACACCTTTCATAACTAATTCTGCTTCAGTATTACCATCAGGATAAACAACTCCAGGACAATCGATTAAGAATATAGATTTCATTAAAGTAACATATTGCCAGACTTTTGTTTCACCAGCTAGCGGTGCGACATTACAGACTTTTTTATTTCTTGAAATAAGACATGCAAAATGAAATACAAAAATAGTATTACTAAGCATAGTGTACTGTTAAATGTTTATAGTAGTCAATATAGACCACCTGTTTACGAAAACGACTGTAGTAGTCCTAATTCACCAAATTTGTCTAGCAGGTAATATTATATCTTGGTCGCTTTTTTTCAGCCTATATTAAAACCTAAAGTAATAGTCGATTTTAATCCGTTCCTCATTATGGCTTTAGTTATTAGAAACTTTTCTGTCATTTCATACTAGTACCAAGTAAGAGAGAAAGGGATAATTAAAGATTATTACTGAAATTTCTTCTTTAGACATGAACTATTACAATTTGGGAAGTAGAATGCAAATGCTGACATAGTTCTATACTTGTAACTAATTTCTTTACAAAGGTATAGTCAATTATTGATGAGAAATTAAATTCAGGCGTCACAGTACAAGAAAGCACAAAGGTAGTTCTGAAGAAATTGAAAATATACAACTTACCTGAGAGCATTAATAATACTACTTTTTCCAACATTTGGATAACCAATGATACCAACTGATATTTGTGGTCGTTCTTTACTATGAAGCGATGCCAGTTGCCTTAAAAGACCCATAAGAGCAACCTTGCCCAAAGGCTTATTCATATCAGCATGAAATATCAAAGTAGGATATTCTTCAGATAAGATGGCTTTCCATCGTTTCTATATATGATGAAAAATATAACAGGGAACGCTGATTTGAATGGCATGCATATATATATATATATATATATATATATATATATATATATATATATATATATATATATATGTTCACATACGTTTGGTCAGAATAAAAAGCATGAAACAAAACAGGTAGCATGTTATTGGTGACTTCAAAAAGAAGTAGATCGGTTGAAGACTTTTTTATTTTCACAACACACCAAAATGAAATGAGCATATCATTAGATTATCCGGAAAGAAAATCAGGCCTAAGTGTTAACCTATTTAATTTGATGATATGTTGAACCTAAAGTCGACAAGTGGACTGAATCATGTTGGCAGATGCAGGCTACATGGTTGGGGTCCGCGAGACGTAATCACCTATGGTTAAAGACGTTGAACTACATGGCACAAAGTCGTTTTCAATGGTGCAAGTGCATCCACTCTTTGTGTTATCTCAAATTGTAACCTTCTGAATTCCTCATCATCTCTATCTTTCTCTTTCTATAGATATCTCATTGAATCAGGCTTCCAATCATATCTTTGAACCATAATCTTCTCCATTACTTCTACTATCACTACCACTATGTGATTTGAACTGACAGTTGCGTCTCTGTGCTAATGCGGTATGGCAACCTGAACTGATGTATGTACGTACGAAGTTCTGTGTTGTATCTGTTATTGTTTGAACCTAGTAACAAAATATCCTACGACAGCATTACTTACATATAAATAATCAAGACACTGGGATTGTTCATCAGTCGAGATATCACTACCTAAAGTCATGCAGTTATTGTATTGTATACAAAAACGCAACTAGGTCTTATGGAAGTCAGTGAATACTCAAAAGCAAACTCAATGAATTCAATTTGCTTATAAAGTGCATTTTACTTATTTCTACAGTCATCTATCAAGCGTGATCATTTTCTAAATATAGTCAATTATTTTCAAGGATACTTTAGGTAAGTCATGACGGAAATTGTTAGTTAAACACTAAACTTTTTAGTAAATAAAAACAGTTTAGGGAAAGTTTCTTTCTCATTTAGGGGAACAGGTAATGCATTTTAGTTTGGGAAAAAATGGACTGTAAAATTATTAGTCAACATTAGCATATTCCGACACAATTATTAATCATGAGCAAGCAACAATCAATGGCATAAACACTTTTGTTTCCAGTAAGATGGGATATGGAATTAATAATGTACATAGACTGCTTATTTGTTTCCTAAGTATTACATTGTGAATCACTTTTTGATCTCAAGAGGTAACAGGTCACCCAAATGATGAGGAAGAACATAAGTGAAATTCATGACCGCAGATGCCATCTTGACTTGTTGGTCGAGTTTGTCTATATTGGATGAAAACACATGTTTCATTAGGTTCTACCATGTAAGGCAGGTCCATTGGAGAACGGTAAGACTACAAGCAGTAACTGAAGCTCTGAGGGCGAGGTCGTCCTGATGACTGTAGAGGGGTGTGACAGCAGCAAGGTGTTTCCTTCGGACAATCAGCATCTGCAGCGACGTCCCTTCTCACAAGGAAGGGAGGGGTTAGAAAAGGTCGATTCTAAAAACTTTATACCTCACTTTCCCCTACGGACTTTCGTCTCTGTCGGTAAGGCCATTTGAATAGCACTTTAAAACCTTCCCATAAAAGGGTGGTGTGCGACCGGCATCGAGCAGTTGTCCCTTGAGCTCTGCGGTCACGCACCCAGGTCTCTAAGACCAACGCTAAACCAATTTCCTTTGTAGGGTCTCCATGAAACACCCTCCCAAGGTGTGGACAGCTGGGAAGTGACATCCGCCCCCATACAGCACGTAAGATCAACCAGTTCACGAACAAACCCTTTCGTCACCTTTTCATACCTCTTATCTTCATGACTAACCTTTCTCGCATAACTGTGTCGTATCGCGCCGCTAATGCAAACTATTTGAGTACACGAAACATTATTCCTGGTCTCCTGAAACCCGCTCTCAACTACATGCTGGAGCTTCTAATGTTCTGAACCTTATGCCAAATAGGACAACAGACCTCCTTAGCTATGGCTCTAGGATCTTACGCCATCAATGAGTGCTGTCTCTCCGAAACGAGCACCCAGGATCCAGGTACAGTTATTCATTTAAAATCACCGTGTTGAAATAAGGAAACGTCGCGATCTATTCTCTGTGTACCTGGGGACCCCATCACTACTTTCTGTGGCCCCGACGATTTAGGTATCACACTCCTAGACTGAATTCAAGTAGACAGTCACTTGTGTGCTGTCTGACTAAACGAGACAGTTAAAACTCGGTAAGATAGGGACACTCATTGTTGAGCTTGTATGCTTGGGCAATACTTACCACCTATGCATATAGATAATTGACTAGCTTTATCGATTAACTGTTTAAATAATTCGATGGCGATATCGACTATATACATTTGAATTTAATCCGATATTTGTATCAATCACAAAATATTTTGAATAATAAACAAGTTGTGGCAACGGCTCGTGTTCTATAGTAGCGGTCATCAAGGAGGAGATATACAAAATTTAGAAGATAAAGAGAGTCCAACGCCACAAGGTAAAAGATGATCTTTACAGAGAACTCTCCAGCCTTTCGAAAGCTAAGCGCTCTGACGGGTATTTCAGTGCTCAAATAGAAAGACTAAACTAAACCGAAAGGCACCTTGGTGGATCTTATGTTGTCACAAACCGCAGAACAGATAATGGCAACCGTCTGCAGCAACTATACTCCATAGGTTACACTAGGGACAGCCAAAACATTTACTGTATATTTGAAAACAGAAGTTGAATAAAATACAAGCAAACCGTTTTACTAAAATGTATTGGTAGAATTGTGATAGTATTTTGTTAAATACAAAAGGGGGAAAATATTTCCGAATGGAAAAAGAATGTATACAACTTACTGTTATCCATACAGGAACTAGATCCACTTTATTGATAATAAAAATGAAATGTTTATGCGGTTTTTCAGTTTTCAAGTACTTCTCGATATACGGAGATCGCGTCCCCATTGGATCACGTGCATCCAAAATGTAAAGTACAACATCTGACGAGTCCAAAACCTTAGCGAAATAAACATTTAAACAACAGAGAATTTGAAATGTGAATCGATATTATAAAAACAGTTAAAACCAGTTTAAAAGGTAATGTAGAAGATATACAAACAGTTAGAGAGATTTCAATGCCTACAGATCTAATAATGCTAGATAAAGTTCATGGAGTAGTGGCATAATGATTACTTCGGTTTAGGCAACTAGGAAGCATTATCAGCCTTCACACTTAGTGTGCCTCATAACAAAGTACCTGGTGAAATTTAAATTATTTATGTATTATTAGACAGAATTCAGAGGGGATTGAATCCATGAACCATAATTTGCCGTATTCTAAAAAAGGTATTGAGCAAAAAATTACACTAGAGCAGATGATTTTGTAAATCTAGCAGCAATAATATTTATTACAGGAAATTAGCGATAACAACTCAGTTCTGACCGGTTCATAGTTTTAGCAATAAGTCTCAAGTTTGAAAGTAATAACTTGGGTTGATGCCAGAGGACTTATCTTCGTTCGCTGCACTGAGCTCGCGTATGCCGAGATAATTATAGCAAGCTCGAGTTAGACAGGGTTGGCTGGTTGTTGGACTACATGAACTTATGAGCGGTCGGAATTTCCAAACTGAACCATAATAGTGTCACGCTCAAGATTAATTAAACGTTAATGTTCATTTTAAACATCGCTCACGGTTAGTTTGGAGTGTTGATCTAGTTAACACACTCAATTTTTGAGATCGTGAACTGCAAATGAGGATCTCAACCCTCACATAAGCTTAAAGATGGATACAACTAGAAAAACTATTAACCGTTCAGTTCTCATACTCGTATATTATACTCAAAACTATTTGACAAAATTCATTTTAATTGAGTCATTTGTTTAATCCTTTATTCTTCAACTTATACAGAAGCTCGCTTATGGTGGAAATTCCGTTCTATCTAAACTATCTTTAGTCACTAACTGATCAAAAATTAATGCTACCAGTGAGCAAAAATGCTGTATCGGCTTCTCTGAAACGGGTCTTTTTTAACATTCACGCATTAATGCGTATCGGACAACAGAAAGGGTTGGTTGCCTTCAAAAAGTTCAAATATCGATATCTGTTGCCTATTCGAGACCCATATTCAAGACTCTATTGACATACCACTAATTTTTTCGCCATATGTCGCTTCAAAAAGCTTGTTTCACGTTTGTTTATCCGGGGACCTTGTGCTCTGGTTTGAGAGCGTTAGTGTCACACTAAGCGCTAGGGCTGAGGCAGCACTAATCGATAGGATCCTCATTACCAGTAGATGAAACGCTCTTGGATTAAAAAGCTTCATCAACGTGAGAAACTGGTTTCAGAAACGATGTCTTTTCATTATCATCACTTACGCCACGAAAGGTAGCACCACGGATGTAGTCAAAGATCAGTTCGACCACCCACTAGACGGTCTTCTCAAAAAACGCCATCGACAGACATTTTAGTACTAGCGGAGAATTCGAATGCGCAGGTCGGATGTATAGGCTAAAAGGGAGAGTTCTCTGGGTGGCTAATAGTGACTTGTTGGTCGCAGGCCAGATAACGGTGTAACTGCGTACACTACAACCTGACTGACTAGCACTAAATGTCGGCACTGTCATCTCCAACAATCTATCTGGCTTCCTTTTTCTGCTTCTCAAGCCTGAAATAAGATTGATCACATCAAAATCAACTACTACTCGCGTTGATGCTGCTCTTTTTTGACACCTGTATGGTCAGTAAGTCAGATGCAACATAGAACTTTGTACGTATGTACATAAGTTCATGTTGCCATACCACATTAGCACAGAGACGCAAATGTCAAATCAAATCCCATAGTGATAAAGATAGTAGGAGAACTACTGGTAATAGAGAGCATTAGGGTTCCAAGATATTATTTAAGATGTTTAATTCAGTGAGATAGGTTTGAAAAAACAAAAGTAGAGGTGTTGAGGAATACAGATTAGGATTTGAGAGAACTCAAAGAATGAATGCGCCTGCGCTATTGCAAACGATTTTTAGCCATGTCGTTCAAGGTCTCTAACCATCGCAAACCCCAACCAGGTAGCCCACATCTACCAACATGACTCAGTCCACTTGTCAGTGACTTCATGGATTTCTGCCATGATTTGGTCTGGCAGCCCCTAACTTTCTTCCAACCTACTCCTACACCATAAAACAAAGCTCGTCGGAGCAGTCAGTGGTTGGGCATTCGTAACACATGTCCCAACCAGCACAACTGATGAAGTTTCAATACTTCATCTATTGACCTGCCATCCTTACCTAGTACTCGCTTCTTAACGACAGCATTGCTTACTCGGGTGTCCACAATACACGGGAAATGTTTCTAAGACATCTATGATCGAATACTAGTAACCTACGAACATCTACTCTTAACGGCCATGTTTCACAGCCATATAAGAGAACGGAACGAACTGCTGCGCAGTACACCCGTCCTTTAATTAGCAAACGGATATCTTTACTACGCCATAAATGAAGTAAATAGGCAAAAGCCAATCGAGCTTTCTGTATCCGTGCACAGATTTCGTCACGAATCAGGTCATCACCACTGATGAGACTCTAGAGATCAGTAAAGCGGTCGACATGCACGACTACTTCACTCCCTATCACAAGTTCAGGTGCCGTTGCAAGCCGATTCTGAAACAACATTTTAGATTTCGAAGGTGAGAAACGCATCTCGAACATGCTTGCATTGTTTCTTAGGAAGTCAGAAAACTGCATTTTGTTAGTGTCTTCACAGAATAGAACTATGTCATCGACATATTCTAGGTCATTAGCGATCCTCCTGGTAGAAGGTCTACTCCTCAAAAATCTAACGAGGATAATGTTAGTGTGTGTGTTTCAGGACCTGTCGTAATGTGAAGATGTGATCTATACAACCACGTCCAGGTCGAAAACCAGAATCGTTTTCTCCACTCTGCTCTTCACGATTTATAGTTATGCGTCGGCGTATTATTGAGGTCAATATTTTCGACACTATATTAGTAAGAATTATTTCTGTGATTGTCACAAGAGGACCTTTGTCCTTTCTGATAAATTAGGACAATCAGTGATTGAGACCAGTCAGATGCAATTACGCTCAGTTCCCAGATTCTTCCTAAGATCTCGGTCAATCTAGCTGATAAAGCTGGACCACCATCCTTAAAAATCTCAGGGGACAATTTATCAGGACTCGCTGCTCGACCTCGCTTCAGATTTCCTACAGCTTTCTCAACTTCATGTAGACTGGGAGGACTTAAATCGATTTGCTAATCAGGATGACTCGGGATCGTGGGCAACCGAATTGTGGCTAATCATTAGGTAGAACCCTAGGAGGTTTTCTTGCGATGTCTTCCCTACGTCCAATAAGTCGCAAACAAACATGCGCTCGCACTACCGCATGATCTGAATCTAAACATGTGCCTCAGAACGAGCGACAGTCCTCTATCGAACCCTTCCATCGGTGGCTGATGGCAAAATAATCTAGATGGGTACAGCGCTGTGACGACTATCGGGGTCGCATTGTCAAGGGCTTTTCCTTCTGCCTAAAGTTAGTGTTTCCCAGAAATAGGCGGTGATCTGAGCATATCTGCAGCAGATGGTCGCCATTATCTGTTCTATTAGCCACGAAACTATAAAATCCACCCAGGTGTCTTTCCTTTTCGCTGAGTCTACCTACTGGACCATTACAGTCATCAGCCATTATTACTATATCAGAGTGCTCTGGTTTTTGAAGATTAGGGAGGTTTCTGTAAAACTCATCTTTCATGTCGTCTGAACTGCAGTCAGTGGGAGCGTAGGCAGATACGACGAAGAGGCAACGGCGAGTGTCCCTATGCTTCCGAATCCTTACTGTCCCGTTTAGTCGGACAGCGCATAACCGACTGTCTATCGGGATCCAGTCTAAGAGAGCTTGTCCTGCCCTAGGACTTAATACTATACCTACGCCGGCGAGGCCCCAAGAAGTAGCATCAGGGCTTCCAGAAACACGAAGCGTAAACCTTGTTGTTTCTCTATCTGCACTAGGTGAGATCAAATTGATGATTTTACTCGAGTCATGTATGCGCGTTTCGGAGACGCAACATACATCGATGGCGCGATATTCAGATTCCAAAGCCCTAGCCAATGAGGCCTGTTGCCCTATTTGGCATAGGGTCCGAACATTAAAAGTGCCTATATGTAATTTCGTACGGGGTTTCAAGAGACCAGGAATAATGTTTCGTGAGCTCATACCGTTTGGTTCAGTGGCGTGAGGTGATAATCGATCGAAAGGGTTGGTCGAGGAGATAAGAGAGTTATTAAGAGGTGTAGAAAGGATTTGATTGTGACAGATTTGGTTTCGTGTGCTTTTATGGGTATGAACGCGGATGTTACTTCCCGGTTGCCCACACCGTGGAAGGGTGTTTCTTAGGGTACCTGAAAAGGAAGATAGATTAGTGTAGGTCTCAACGACCTGGGAGCGTGACCGCAGAGTCCAAGGGACAACTGCTTGGAGCCGGTCACGGACGGCCTTTTTATTAAAGGTTTTTTGAGTATTAGCTCCGCTCTTGAAAGCCCTTAGTGGGCACCCTTACCGACGGAGACGGAAATCCCTGACGTAAGGTGAGGCGTGACTTTTTTACGGTCGAACTTTTCTAACCCTTCCTTCCTTGTGAGAAGGCAGCATCGCTGCAGATGCTGTTTGCCCGAAGAAAACACCTCACTGCTGTCACACCCTCTGCAGTCAGCAGTACGACTTCGCCCTCAGACCTTGAGTAGCTGCTTTTAGTGTCATCGTTCTCCAATCGACCTTTCTGGCTTGGTAGAACCTATAGGAACATATGTTCCAGCCAATATAGCTCGGTTGGGTCATCACGATGGGCAAGCCCGACAACCACGTTAAGGTAGCAGCTACGGTTGGGCTTACAGTTGGTCTTAACAAATGTGAATTAAGTTGGTTTACAATGAGACAATACATGATGAACAATTTTCAAGTTATGTGTGACAAATATCATATGGTTATAAATTATTAACTAAAATTTAACAGAAACGCTAAGCCAACAAGCACTTATATGGACTCTGAGCATAACACAGTTTGAGCATTTCGAGACTTATTCTTGTTCCGTATTATGTTTTTTGAACTTTTGAAGAAATAATACACTATTACGCACAATATCGATGTCTATGAGTGCGAAAAGTGGTGGATCTTTTGATGCCGTTATGAATTTGTGGGTCAGTGAACAATTAAAATCTTCTAAATGTATTTTGTATGTTGCTCTATCAGATACAAAACATTCACTCCCTATCTATTCCATTTATATTGTCTGACAGGACGACATGCACACAAACAAAGATATATAATATTTACAATACCGTACGTAGTAGACATATTATGGATAAATAGATTCTAAGGGCTATTAACATAAAAATCTTTTTTGTTGAACATCTATACATGTTGTTTGCTTTTGTAAGTAAAAATCCCATTTTATTATATATATATATATATATATATATATATATATATATATATATATATGAGGAACTTGTTGAAGTGTTTCGTCCTGAGAATTTCGTATAGAACTATGTTACTGAATATTGTCGTTACTGTCAACATCGTTTTTGTCATTAAAAAATTACTCAAATGAGTTTCGTGAAAGATTCCTACTAACAACGACTATCATTTACCTAGATAGCATCATCCAAAGCCAACATTGCTTTGTGAGAAAATACTTCTCCTAGTAGCTTTATGACAACAAGAATATCAATTCCAGGTTTTTAATTTAGCGAAATTAGAGCTTATCGTCTATATCCAGCTATCACTTTCTTTGATCTTTTGTCTCACTTTAATGTTGTGTTGAAATTTCTTTGTACAGTATTCACATTTTATCAGTCATTACTGTCGAATATTTCCAAGTTTGTCATAGCCCTCAATTATCCTCCTTCATCCGTACGAATGACAGATCTCTGTTTGAAAGGTTATCTTTTTTGTTCGTATATGGAATTTGTTTGTTGTTTATGGGTCTCAGATCCATTAGGGTACTTATGTGGTTGCGCCACAGAACTGATCAGTGTAGTGCGGATTATAAAAGAGCCTGTGTAGTGTCTAATCTTCCTAAAAACCAAGTTATCCTGTTGCACAGCATATTTACAATTATGAATAATGAAGCAGTGGCTCGGGGTACTTGACTATCAGTCAATTATTCCCAGGCCCAAACCGCGCTCGACCTACTTCAATTTACGCAGCCAGTTAGCATTACTAGCCTTTATGCTTAATGCATGACTTTAAGTAAAGTACATGAATCATTGCTTGGTAAATACCGCGGTACAACCGAAAGTTGTGAGATTCCGATCTCTCTTGAAATGATTCCATATGACGGTTCAGATGATTTTCTGTCCCTGTAACATCTACTAAACTGTCCTATATATCCATGGCCGTTGAATACCGATCCACCTGACGAGGCGGGAGTCTACAAGGAACTCCAACTCTTGTGGCGCCACAAATCACCAGACCCACATAGCTTACCTTCGGCTCATTTTAAAGATGGCGGTGACCTGATTAACGAACTGATTGAGTGGTTTGCCAACGTCCAGCAATCGGAGAGTGTCTCCACACCATGGAAGGGGTCGAGAGTTGCCTCCATCTTTTATAAGGATTCATGTCATCTATAAGCGGACAAGACGATTTCTGACTGGGTTCAATCTATTGCCTTTCGTGATACTTTGCAGACGGTTCGAAACACGTGAGAAATTGACCTGTGGGGAACAGGCTGTTAGAACACTATTACACTTATTGCAGGCCAACAGTCAGTGTTTCTTGACATCAGAGCCGCCTTCGATTTGTTTGACAGGACTTTCCATTGACAAAGGGCGTGCCTAGGAAGTTTATTAATTTCTTCAAGGCTCTATATACAAACATCTGATGAACAGTCAGTCCATGCAACCACCTTTCTTCACTGTTTCATCCGAGCGATGGGGTTAGGAAGGGTTACGTGGGTCTGCTACTATCGACTTTGAGTATGCGGATAAGGAGAATTCCGCATCGTCAATAATTGCCAACGCTGGGACTAGTTGGGGAAAACAAACAGGTGGCGAGTGTACGACATGGTGTCGTAGTACGCAGGAAAGCTGTCTAGGACTGGCATCTCTCGGTCCTTCAGTACTCCCTGGTTGAGGTTCTAGAGATAGTGCAAGTCAGTGGCTTGAGAGGTTTTCAGATAAGACTGAGAATAGAAGCCAGTGGTGGTCCTGTTGTGTAAATTTTTTTTACTTTCTCTATAAAAGAGAGACGGACTTCTTTGACTGAAGGAATCCTTTCTAGTTATACTTTTTTGTTGACTGAACTGCTTTTCCCATTATTATTATTACTCTCTGACATTAATTTTTGTTTATTGCTCACTTTTCATCATACTCACCTCTATCTCTTCACAGCCTCATTTTTATTTTGTGGAGCAAACGTATTTTGGTGCTCCTTTTGTACCAATTTTTATGTGCTTTAAATAAAATCAAAGCTTTAAGTAGTGTGGATTAAAATTGGTCACATCAACACAAATAGACTCAATCATCACCTTTCCTTAAATCCTGGACCTATTTAACAATTAACTAACTCACTCAATAGATATTTGGACATGATGTACACTTTAAATGTGATGACTGATCATAACACCTTGTTGTTTAGACGGAAGTAGGTCGAGCAGGGTTTTAACCCGACACGTAATGGCTGAAAGTCGGGAGCGCTGACAACTAAGCTACCCAGTACTATCCCATTATTTTTGTTATCAGGTGTTATCTATTACTTTGAAAACTTTTAGAGGAATGTTACGGTGCTTTACCTTTTACTACTAGTACTCGCAATTTTCGTTTGCTTGTTTAATGATCATAAATTATAAATGTTTGTATCAAGTTGTATGTTATGCATACCTGTCAGTAGGCATTTTGTTTTACATTAGTCGGTGACTAAGCATGAGTACTACTCAAAGTATGTCCTCGAAATCTAACTAATCTCTTATTTAGAACTGAACCCCACATAAAAAACCTTTGCATTATTGGCAACATGTGAAAAACTATTTAGTCACTAAAAATCAAATATCTGGAACAATTTCAAATTACCTACCTCCATTAGTTTTAAAACAAATCCAAATGACAAACAATTAACGAGCAACCTATATATATGTTTACAATATGAGTAACGAGAATGATGAATGGTACAACCATAGAAGTAAAGTGGTTTGCTTACCGTCACTTCATCATAGATATTTTAAATTAACCCTGATACATTGTTTTGTATTAAACAAAATGCATGTCAAACAGTCAGAAATACTGAACAGTTACTTGTATATTCTGAATGAATATACCGAGGGCATTCCGTGTGAAAACAACTACAACCTGGTACTAAATAAGTTAAAATATCTGAAAATAGTCTCGTTAACGGGGAAGAAATAAAACGAATTATTTTATGAACGTGGAGTTTCCAAAATTATAAGATAATTAAAAGCAGAATTGATGACAATCATAACAAGACGATATCGGTTAACTAGGAAAATAATGTTCTGTCTTAAACATACTGGTACAATTCAGTCCACTAACTCTTTAATAAATTATTTCCTGCTTGCTTTATCTCAGATAGCCAGATTTTCCGACTAGGAGTTACGAATAGATCTCAGACTGAGTACTTTAAAACAAGCATTATTTTAGAACATTGCTATTGTTAGCAAACATTTTCAACTTAAAAAATATGGCGTATTGAATAATTTTCTTATAGGTTTTGTTCTACACCGTTCATAATGCTCTTTTAGAGATAAGGAAGTAAACTAAATTAACCATACTTTCACAAAATTTATCAATCTAAGGTTAATGAGAGGCTTACAAACAAACGAACAAGTCAAATGATGCATAATAGTTGAGTAGTTAAAAACTTGCCTTAAATAACTCATTCCATAGCCGCTTCGATCTTCCAGCTTTAAAGTGAGGGTCCTGAGTCAGTTCTCGAACACCATCATCACATCGAACCATATGTTTATCTTCAGTCGAGTTATACGAATACTGATTTGACTCAGCATGTTGTACAAGTGCCTAAAGTATACGAAAGTAACAATTATCAGTAGCTTGAAGTGTACATTATTGATAATATGAGAAATGACTTGACGAAAATTACATAAATGTAATCATATCCCTGAACTCCGCCTGAAGCCACTCGAAGGCTAATGCCGGTCCCAAGGCTCGATGAAGGAGGGTTCTGCATGGGGGGTTGGCGAACTTGATACACGAGAAAACTAACTCGCTAAAAAACAATAACCAGAAAACATAATTCAAACCATTTTAACTCTTTCCTGGGATTTAGATGGTCTTCATTTAAAAGAGTTATGGTGTCTCATGATGATAGCCGAGTTCCTACGGAAGTCACGAGGCAAATGCCCCTTCTCACAACCAGAGCAACCATTCTTTTAGGTACATGGAATGTTCGGACAATGTGGGAGATCAAAAGACTGTTCCAAATTGCTACAAAGATGAACAGACATAACCTGGAGGTGCTTGAAATTAGTGAAACGCATTGGACACAAGTGGAACAACTAAGACTAGTTTCAGGAGAGCTGCTGTTATACTCTGGCCGTGACGAAGAAAATGCCTCACACACACAAGAAGTTGTACTGATGCTATTTAAACAAGCACTAGAAGCACTGACAGGATGGAAATCTCATGGACTCAAGATCATCAAAGCATTCTTCAAAACAAAGGAAATGGGCATTACAATGAACGTCATCCAATGCCATTCACCTACCAACAACTAGAAGGAAGACGTTAAAGATCAATTTTACTAAAGACTGCAGTCAATCGTCGACAGATGCTCACCAAAGGATTCGACGATTCTGATGGGAGACCTAAATGCCAAGGTTGGCATGGAAAACACTAGATATGAAGACGTCATGGGACGACATGGACTGGGAGAAAGGGACGAAAACGGTGAGAGATTTGCAAACCTATGTATTTTCAACAAACTGGTCATCGGTAGCACAATATTCCCACACAAGCGCATACACAAAGCCACATGGATTTCACCGTATCACACTACTCAGAACCAAGAGAGGAGCTGACGTAGCCTCAGATCACCACTTGCCGACCGCCAAAATGAAACTGAAACTAAAGAAGCACTGAACAACGGGGCAGACAACATCACACAAGTTTAATACGGCCTTCTTTGGGGTGTCGTAAAACTCAACGAATTTAAGATAGCCCTCAGCAATAGGTTCCAGGCCTTGGACGATCTACTCAATGGAGAGGTAACAAAGCAGGCAATCACTTCAACATGTCACGAGGTTCTGGGTCACAAGAAGCACCATCACAAGGAACGGATCTCTGTTGGTACCCTTCAAAGAATTCAAGAAAGGAGGAACAAGAAGGCAGCAATCAACACCAACCGAACAAGAGTAGAGAAATCCAACGCACAAGTTGAATACACAGAAGCAAACAAGCAAGTGAAGAAGAGCATCGAAGCCGACAAACGTAAACATGTGCAAGATCTAGCAATGACGGCGGAAAAAGCTGCAAGAGAAGGAAACGTGGGACAACCATATGATATAGCGAAGAATCTTCCTGGAAGATATCGTAAACCAGAACGACCAGTGAAAAGCAAGGAAGGCAAAGTAATCAGCAGCATTGAAAAGCCGTGAAATAGGTGGGTAGAGCCTCCTGAAAATTTAGACGAAGATAATGTTATATCTAGCAGCATGTCTATGACAAAATTGAACAAGAATGCAGAAAGTGGACATCCCTGACGGACACCACTTGAAGCAAAGCATTCCACTGACAGTTGGCCATAAGTTCTAACTCGACCAGTAGTGTTCGAGTAGAGAGCTTGTATAAGGTCAATGTACTTCTTTGGTACGCCTTTCAATGACAGACACTGCCACAGAACCTCACCATCCACTGAGTCAAATGCCACCTTAAGGTCCAGGAAGACAACTATTGTCGGACACTTAAGTGTGCATTCCAGGACCTGTCGTAGTGTGAAGATGTGGTCTATAAAACCACGTCCAGGTCGAAAACCAGCATTGCTTTCTCCAGTCTGCTCTTCACGAGCTCTAGTTAGACGTCTAAGTATAATGGAGGCTAACAATTTAGAAACTAGATTGGTTAGACTTATTCCCTGTGGCCTTTATCCTTTCTTATAAATTAGGACAATCGGTGATTGGGACCAGTCAGTCGACCGTAGCTGCTACCTTGACGTGGTGGTCGGGCTTGCCCATCGTGATGACCCAACCGAGCTATATTGGCTGGAACATATGTTCCTATAGGTTCTACCAAGCCAGAAAGGTCGATTGGAGAACGATGACACTAAAAGCAGCTACTCAAGGTCTGAGGGCGAAGTCGTACTGCTGACTGCAGAGGGTTGTGACAGCAGTAAGGTGTTTCCCTCGGATAACCAGCATCTGCAGCGATGCTGCCTTTTCACAAGGAAGGAAGGGTTAGAAAAGGTCGACCCTAAAAATGTCACACCTCCCCTAACTCACGGCCTTTAAGAACGGAGCTAATCCTCTAAATACCTTTCATAAAAAGGCCGTGCGTGACCGGCCTCAAGCAGTTGTCCCTTGGACTCTGAGGTCACGCACCAACACTAATCCATCTTTCTTTTCAGGTCCCTCAAGAAACAACCTTCCACGGTGTGGGCAGCCGGGAAGTGACAACCGCCCTCATACCCGTAACAGCACGCGAGACCAAATTGGTCAAAATCAAATCCTTCCTACACCCCCTAATATCTCTCTTATCTCTACGACTAACCCTACTCATACTCCTTTTCTAACTGCACCGCTAATGCAGACGAAGCGAGATCACGAAACGTCGTTCCTGGTTTCCTGAAACCCCGTCCCAGACTACATGTTGGAGCTTATAATGTACGGACATTGTGTCAAATAGGGCAACAGGCATCATTAGCTAGGACTTTAGAATCTCGTGCCATCGATGTATGCTGCGTCTCGGAAACGCGCATACAGGATCCTAGTAAAGTCATTAACCTGATTCCACCTTGTCAAAACGAAGAAGCAGCCCGATTCACTCTTCGTGTATCCGGTAGCCCTGCTGCTGCTTCCAGAGATCTTGCTGGCGTAGGCATAGCATTGAGTACTAGGGCAGAACAATCTCTCCTTGACCGGATCCCAGTAGATAGTCGCTTGTGCGCTGTCCGACTAAACGGGACAGTAAGGACTCGAAAGGATAGGGACACCCGCCGTTGCCTCTTCGTCATATCAGCCTACGCCCCCACTGACTGCAGTCCAGACGATGTAAACAACGAGTTTTAATGAAAGCTTTCGGACCTCCTCCAAAAAGCTAGGCGCTCTGATATAGTAATAATGGCTGGTGACTTTAATGCTCAAGTAGGTAGACTAAGTGAGCAGGAGAGACACCTAGGTGGATGTTATGGTGTCCCGGCTCAGAGAACAGACAATGGTGACCGTCTGTTGCAAGCATGCTCAGACAACCGCCTATTCTTAGCAAACACTAACTTTAGGCATAAGGAAAAGCATCTGTTGACCTGGCGACCTCCAAAGTCGTCTCAACGTTGGACTCAACTAGATCGCATCGCCATCAGCCACCGGTGGAAGGGTTCGATAGAAGACTGTCGCTCGTTCTGAGGCACATGTTTGGATTCAGATCATGCTCTAGTGCGAGCTCGTATCTGTTTGAGGCTTACTGGACGTAGGAAAGACACCGTAAGGAAACATCTTAGGGTTTTACTTAATGATAATCAAACTAAGAAAATATTTCAGGAGGAACTAGAAACGGAGTTAAGCAACTATGTAAGTGATTTCCATCCAGAAGCAGGTTGGTATGATATCAAAAAGGCTGTGGAAACAGCAGTGATATCTGCCAGCAAGGTTAACCATAAGGCTAGGATGAAGCCGTGGATATCAGTCGCATCCACCGAACTGATGGATGCTCGAAAACGCATCTCACCTGACTCTAAGCACGATGAAGAGCGTAGTCAGCTTAGGCGCAGACTTATAAAAAGTCTGCGTAACGACCGCGAACAGTGGTGGGTGGCGAAAGCAAAAGCGATGGAAAAGGCAGCGGCGATCGGCAACAGTAGACAACTTTTCCGCCTTATTAAAGAAACTGGTATTAAGAACCCGAATGTGAGTGAGACTATCTGTGAAAAGGATGGGATTATTATCCATTCTCAATCTCCAGTCATCCTGAATGGCAAATCGACCTAAGTCCCCCTAGTCTTCATGACGTCTAGAAAGCGTTAGGAAATCTGAAGCCAGGTCGAGCCGCCGGTCCTGATAGACTGACCCCTGAGATATTTAAGGATGGTGGTCCAGTTTCATCAGCTAGGTTGACTGAGATCTTAGGTAGAATCTGGGAACTGGACGCAATCCCATCCGACTGGTCTCAATCACTGATTGTCCCAATCTATAAGAAAGGACAGAAGTCTTCTTGTGACAATCACAGGGGAATAAGTCTAACTAATATAGTATCTAAAATATTGGCCTCAATAATACTTCGACGCTTAACGAAAGCTCGTGAAGTGCAGACTCGAGAAAACCAGGCTGGTTTTCGACCTGGACGTGGTTGTATAGACCACATTTTCACACTACGACAGGTCCTGGAACATAGACACACATTTAGGCGTCCTACAATAGTTGTTTTCCTGGACCTTAAGGCGGCATTTGACTCTGTGGATCGTGAGGTTCTGTGGCAGTGTCTGTCATTGAAAGGCGTACCAAAGAAGTACATTAACCCTATACAAGCCCTATACTCGAACACCACTGGTCGAGTAAAGGCTTATGGCGAACTGTCACCGGAATTCTCTACATCAAGTGGTGTCCGTCAGGAATGTCCACTCTCTCCATTCTTGTTTAACTTTGTCGTAGACGTCCTCTTAGAGTTAACATTAATCTCGTCAGATTTTTCAGGGGTTGATCTTCTACCAGGTGGCTTGCTTATTGACTTAGAATATGCCGATGACATTGTCCTACTTGGTGAAGACACTGACAATATGCAGTCTTCTGACTACCCTAAGCAACAATGCAAGCATGTTCGGGATGCGGTTTTCCCCTTCGAAATGCAAAATGTTG